AATTGCTGAAGCAAATGCATCATTTAACATTGTGTTTTTGCCTAATGCGGAAGCAGTTTCAGCCCTTTTTGCTCTGAACATTCTTGCAAAGCTACAATTACTTGAGGCGTTGAATCTAATAAATGTTAGTGTAGCAAGACGGACGTCAGTTATGCCATTTAGTCATAAAATGTCCCAAGTTCTTTAAAGAAAAACATTATTAACACAAAAAAAAAAAAAAAAAAAAAACAAACAATAACGAAGGAGTGAACTAATAGTACAAGATCAATCACATACGCTAAAAAAAAAAAAAAACCCAGTAAAAATCTGGTTTAAAATTGTCAACACAAATTTTGAAGATGAAAATCGCTTTCAATTTCATTTATGATACATACATATATTGTGTGTTTGTGTGTGCATATGTGTTTGTTTAAATACATGTAAGTGGTTTTTAAATGAGGACACATACATTTTTTATTTTTGGGGGTGCTATAGTACCTTTAAAAAAAAAAAAAAGGAAAAGTTAGTACTATTCCCGTAAAAAGTTCGCCAGCCCTGATCCATTCAACTCGCTGACACCCGGCCTGTGTTTTAAAAACAACTAAACAACTAAACGAAAGTAAGCAGAACCCAGTTTGCAAACAATCTCAAGACATATGGTAGTCTGACAAGTCTTAAAACAGATGCTAGTGTTGGCGGTTATTCTTTGTTAGCGCATATCGTACGCTGAAGTTTTCTAACAGCTTTTAAAACTGCCCGCTTTATGTGCATATTCCATTCGGAGAGGAAAAAAAAAATACAAGCTCAAAACCAGCGATTTAAAAAAAAAAAAAAGATACATTCCCATAATAGACTCTACAATTTATGTTTCGAAAAACAGATTTACATGAAAACGAGTCGAAACACTCACGGTAAAAAAGCCTTCCCATGTCTGTCTGTATACGTAATTTCCCCATTATATACGTATCATAGGCACTGCGACATGCAAGCTCTGGCACTTTGAGCGCCCTCCCCTCTCAAACAAAAAATATAAGGGCGATTGCTGAGGTGTCCACCCCCAATAATTATTAGGTAGCAGAAGAACTCCCCGCCCCCTTTTCCCACCAATATAGACTGTTTCTTTTTGAATATTTGTTTTGAAAATTTAATATGATTACAGACATATTATTATATTAATTTGTCATCCAGTGCACAATACAAAAAACTATTATTGTTGCTATTGCCTAATTAAACAAGGCTCAAAGCCCTTAAGCCCCTAACTGCTTATAAAAAAATGACAAGAATGCTAACTCCTCCCTCCACCCTCCGTTCCTCAATGATTTCTTAATGGCGGCGCGCCTGATACCTAGAGATTAGAGACGCAGATGGTGGAAAGAAGCAGGACAAGGACAGTGTGGATTTGCTGAACGGAGAAATGCTGACTGACAAAAATGGCCAAGTGATTAGTGATAGATTGGCGCCATTCATGTTTAACTGTCACTGATAGTTTTTTTTGTTGTTGTATGTTTTGACGCTGTTAGCTAGATGATTATTCGTCTGAACTTAGGGTTACAGTTTTCTTTCAGCCATTTTGTAACGGATATTTACAAATTACTGGTGTTGTCTATACGGGTGTGAGAGTTGGACTCTCACTGTGGAAATGGAAAGGAGGGTTCAGGCTTTCAAATGTAAATGCCACAGACGCATTTTACGAGTTAGTTATTCTCAACACAAAACTAATAATATATATCAAGAGACAAAATATACAAATTTTGGGGACATCAGGAGCCTCTCTTGGCAGCGGTGAAACGTCGCAAGCTAGCTTGGTTTGGGCTAGTGGTGAGACATAATTCAATTGCAAAGACTGTACTTCAAGGAACATTAGGGGGGTGGGGAGTCGAATAGGAGAAGGGCAAAGAAGAACCTGAAATGACAATATCAAGAAATGGACAGGACATAGTTTTCATACACTTATTCATCAAGCAGGAGACAGAGAAAGATGGCGGGTTTTATGTGCCAGTGCTGCCGTCAATACACCTCCATGACCCGAACAGATCAAGGGTTATGTTATGTTAACGGGGAAGTTGTATTACTTGCCTTTAATATATCAAAGAGAAAAATAATTTTAGTTTCGGAGAACGTGCGGTTGTAGAGACAACAGTGTTGAAAATGGGAGCGTCTGCAATCGAGCTGATGTAAGGAAGAACATGAAATTCACTGGCACAGGTCTTGCACAAATACAACCGAAGGTACCAATTTAAATCTTGGTCCTGTTCACGTTTTTCGGCCCATCTATTCACTACCTGACCTGACATTCACACTTTCTAAGACACTTCTACGTCGGGGGGGGGGGTGGGGGGTGTCACGTTGTCTTCTCTCCAATTTCATCAGCGCCTATGACGCGTTTTCTATACTACACGACGACGCAGCTTTCAGCAACTACAGAACATGTAGAACTGGACGTAAACCCAAATCCCCCTACCCCAGCCACAACCTAGGTAACACGAGAGACTCTTTTCGAAGAAAGCAGTACAACGTGACACCCCTGTGACCTAGATCAAACTGAGAAGGGCCAGGAAACGTGAACCGGTCCGAAATCTTTATCAATGAGGATAACACATCTTCTGTGTTTACCCTTAAAAGGACGGTTCACGCGCTCTGTGGCTTACAGATAGACTTCAATATCCGTGCCTTTTGGTCCTAAACACTGGATTCCATGATATTGTTAATTAATAGCATTTTACGACATGCTTGTTACGAGGCCGTGAGTCTATTCTTTCTCCATCTCTCTACCACTCACCGTTTTTTTCTCTCTCTCTTTTCCTTAGAAAAAAAAAAACCTTTGACAGTTAAGTGTATTAGTTCATTCCCTCGTTCTCTGGTTAGTCGTCCTAAAAAAAAAAAAAAAGGCCTCGGAATGCACACAAGGGAAACAACATGGAAAATAGCGTCAGCCACGTAAAAAGATAGTCCTGTAGATAAACATAAATGTTTCTGCTGGTTCTTTTCGTTGATAAAGACTTCGGACAAAGCTTCCAATTGTATCTGCACGCACCTTTACATAATCCAGCCACACTGAGTTTATTAGTCACAGTTAGTGTTTAATTCAGTAGATCTCAAGTGAATAAGCCGCGTTTGCCTCTCAAATTCGAGGCACTCAAATCAGACCTTAAATAAAAAAAAAATAAAAAAATTAAAAAAGATACAGTGAAGAAAATTGTTATTGTGTGGGTGTGTGTGCGTGCGTGAGTGTGTATTTATTTATTTTTTAAAATAATAATAAAAAAAAATAATAGAATCGCAAAATAAATAAATAAATAAATATTTCTTACATTCCAAAGTTGACTTGAATTTTTTTTACCTTTTTAGAGGCTGTCACGAATCTCCTCGGGAGTTCGTTCCCTGGCGGAGCCGAACTTTTTCAAAAATGACCTTGGCTCCCAGGTCGACCCAGTTTGAGTGGGTACAGGGTGCAGTCCCGGGAAGTAAAGGCGGTTGGCGTGATGCGGACCACATCACCTATCTTGTGCCGATTGCTCATTGGTATATAAAATATAGGTCTAGCTCTGTATGCCCTATGTGCCTAAAGGCGTGGAAAAGGGTCCTTTAATTTTTACTTTACACGAACCTCCGCACCTGAAATTAGTTCCACGGGCCATAAACTTAAAATCGCTTCGCTAATTATATTTTTCGATGTTGGAATAATAATATCTGATTTATCGCTTCTTGTGTTAACTTGCCCAACTTGGTTTTGTAACAGCACCCAAGAGAACACTTACGTTTGCAAAATCGAAAAGCGTTTTGCGGAAACGACGTTTTCAAAAAAAAAAAAAAAAAACATGTAAAACGTGGACGAAGCAAAACCCCGTGGAAAATGCAAAAAAAAACAACATTATGTAAATGTAAATATTGTGTAAAAAAAAAAAAAAAACCAGCAACATGTGTAATTTACCAAACCAGTATTTTAACGGTTCTCTGGGGTCAAAGATGTAGAGACGTCAGTACAGAAGCGTTCACATTCGGTTTCGCGGTGATTTGTAGCCATTTGCAAACTCCTGTTTCAAGTTTGTGCATTTCCTCTAGCAAATTCCGCTGTATGTTCAAACACATCCCTCTTTACTTAAACTAAATTGACAGGGGAGGACAGATGCTGATTTATGTCTTCACCTTCTTTCTGTAGACGTCTTTTGAAACGTGTTTGAGGTACATTTTCCTCAAACGGTATTCCTACACTTGTTGCACATTTTCCAAGTCTGAAACCGTTGCTATGAACAAACTTAATTTCCCTTCTTGCCGTCCCACATCCTGTTTTTTTTTTAAACAAAACTGTGTATACCTTGGTGACCAGGGGGAAAGTAATTTACCGACATATGTCGATGGATTAGATGATTACTACCCTTGTTAGGTTAATGATACAAATACTGGGTTTGAAGGACAGTACGTCCGTCTTCTCCTTCCTAGGTTTGCTCACTAGTGCATTCATGAACTCAATTACCCCCCCCCCCCCCCCCCAAAAAAAAAACCTCTAACCCAAGCTGTTTAGGCCGCCTAAACGACAGAGGTTGCTACATGTCTATCCTCCCCAAGCAATATGTATTTCGTTTCTTTGAAAATAATATAGACAAGAAAAATAAAAATTTAAGTCAGAGAATCCCATTTATTTCATAGTTATTTTCCAGTTGGCTTGTCCTCGTTCTAAAAATGCTGACCATTGCGTCACACAAAGCATGGCATTTTATAGCTCCAGCGACGACCCGAAGAGATTATCGGGATACATGCAGTCCCTTACGGAAGGCTGTGGTCCGAACTAAACCCGAAAATTTCAGATAGCAAGGCGAACTACCTAATCACTTCGGAGGAGATCCCAATCGCCATTTTCCTCAATGGCTATATCATATAATACTGAGTTTCTGATAAGGATGCCCTGCGGGAATGAAAACCATTTTGGAATGAAAGCCCCGTCGGAATAACAGACCAGATGGAATAAAAACCCATTAAGAAGGAAAACATAAAATGTGTAGGAAAGAACAGCTTTAACTTACAATTTCCTGGGCTACGTGTGACCACATCTCGACTACTCCTGGGTCCTTCTCCTTCATAATTCCAGGCAGTGATGGACACCAGGTACTTCTGTGATGCACGAAGATGGCCAGCCACCCAGGAAGTCGCATTCCATGGTAAATCTGAAGGGGAAATTATCAATGAATTAAAGAAATAGAATCTTAAACTGTGACTACAATTATTTGTTGATTAAAATGTTTTCTTTTGTGTTTGCCCATATCTACTTTACAAGGTTTCACGTTTGGCGTTTTGTATTTTGATTATGAAATCAACTGTTGAAAAGCATCGTTGGAAATGTTATCTGGCAACCGAGATGGTCGAGGATTGCCAGAAGCTCGTCTGGTCTAAGGCGGAAAATAACCCTGTGCTATTTCCTGGAAATTCTTTTTAGTTGTATAATTGTATTTTGTTTTTTTTAAATGTAATTACGCACGGTCATTATCTACTGAAGCTTTCGTCAGTAAGACAGATAGTGATGAATAAACTCAAACAAGACCAAAAGCTGGCAAAAATACGATCATTCAAAAATATTAAATGTTTACTGAAAGCTGTTGGAATTGTGCACGACTATGGAAACCATATATTGTATAATTTGCAGGTTCGAGGTCACTGAAACAAGTCATGCGGTCAGACCTTTTTCTTCTTTTGTCAAAAGAAGATATACAACCGAACGAAAAGTTTATCAACAAGCTTAACAATATCACAAATACAAACAAAACTTGCGGCTAATGAGCCTTCATCAGCACATCTTTCTTTTAGTTGCGTATCCTTTACAGGACGTTGCAGAACCAACCCCAGCATTTTTTGCTGTTGTGGTTTTTCTAGGCAAATTTAGTAGTTTGCCATTGCTTCTGGATGTTTGGCTTCTCGATACGACTGTCGAAACCAACGCAAGACGCAAGGCCCGCGCTGGGATCGAATCCGGCACCCTGGCATTATGAAGCGTGTTCGCTTAAGCCACAGACACCGACCATCAGTGTCATGGTTTTGTCCTCTCACTGATACCAGGTTGTAGCCCAGTTTCGTGGTTTTGTCGTCTCACTGATACCAGGTTGAAACCCAGTGTCGTGGTTTTGTCGTCTCACTGATACCAGGTTGTAGCCCAGTGTCGTGGTTTTGTCGTCTCACTGATACCAGGTTGAAACCCAGTGTCGTGGTTTTCTGCACTTGTGTTGTGCTTCTCAGCTGGCTTGGGTGATGAATTTGTTAATCTCTTTGCAGGTTTCAGCTACGCCGTTTATCCATATTTCTTGGTCTTCCCCTCGCCTTCCAACCAGATGTTCTGTTTTAAAAAGTCCCATATGCAGTTTGGTCTGGCTGCATTCTCACTAGATGGCTGAACCACTTCATTCTTTGTTGATATAATCCAGACATGGTCTTACTCCAGCTTTCTTTTTTATTGCTGATATTCGTAACCCTGTCTCTTCTTGTGTTGTTAGTGACTTTGCTGAGGCAGCGCATTTCACATGACTTTATTTTCTGTGCCCTATTCATTGTCCCAAACTACTGGACGTAAATTTGCCTAGAAAAACCACACAACAGCCAGGGGCTGTTGGGGTTGGTTCTGCAACGTCCTGTAAAGGATACGTAACTAATTATTCATTGTCCACGTTTGGCACTGATAACAAAAAGTAAGGATAAAAATGCGATTCATCATTTGCTTGAATGGAGACATTTGGGTGTCTAAGGGGTCAGATACGCTAAACACACACAAACCAGATAGACACAAACAAAGAGTATAGGATCTCAAAATCTACAGGGGCGTAAAGAATATTCTTCTCTTAAATGTAAAGGTTATAACCCAAAGCCATTCAGAGCTTTATGTAATATAATGGTTCATTAATCACTAGTCCATGCCAATATGGACACAGCTTTTCGTAATCGTAACCGGTTGTCATCGGGGCCCTAATATAACCTAAGGGTTTGAACAAGGTTTCTGGGACTTCCACATGGGGGATTCTCATCCGAATGGTGGCACTTTATGTCACTGAGTGTTAATAGCTCGCTGTGCGGTTCTAGTGGGGTTCAATTTCACCCACTTAACACATTTTATATTAGTTTTTAAACAACCATTAAATGACAATATATTTTCATTATTCGCTTATTTAAATTGTACATATATTTTAAAGTTTACTTGCATTAGCTGATGTAATTTAAAACAGCAGGGTCCTCAGTGCTTATATAGCTTAGGACTTCATCAAGTCTGAATCCGGTCCTGCATTAGGCCCTAAATCCTAGAGCTGAAGACTTGTCTTATCCCCTATTCTACGCTACATTAAAAAAGTTGTAAACAAAGGTAGCAATGAAACTATCCGGACAAGCCATCGTGAGCCCAATACAAACGAAATCGTGGAAACGGCACCTTCCTGTTATGAGAAAAGATAACTGTTTTTCGTGAAACAACTCATGGGTATGTTGTCTGTGTTTCGACAGCTGTCAGCAGAAAATGGTGTTAATTTCAACATCTAGACTCTAGACCACGTCTGGATTGAAAGTGGCGACGCCAGCAAGTGTAATGAAGAACCAGAGAGTCTGTTTACGGGTTTTGTATGTCATACAATGCGTGAGCATTGTAAGACTGTCAAAGCTAGAGATTAACCTACAGTTATACACTTAGAACGATGGTTCTCAAACGTCCTTATGCGAACCTTTAGTACAGTTCTTCGTGCTGTGGCGACCCACAACCATACAATTATTTTCGTTGCTACTTCTTAACTTCAATGAATATGTGTTTTCCGATGGTCTTTGGCGACCCTTGTGAAAGGGTAGTTTGACCCACACAAGTATCGCGACCCACAGGTTGAGAACCGCTGGTCCAAAGGGGAGCCGCCGTGGGCTAGCAGCTGGACGCTCGCTTGCGGATCGGAAGGTCGTGGGTTCGGATCCTGACGGGGGCTGGGCATTCTTCAAAAATTACATTGGCCCCCAGGTCGACCCAGCCTTGAGGTGGTACCAGGTACAGTCCTGGGAAGTAAAGGCGGCTGGCGTGATGCTGAGCACATCACCCACCAAGTGCTGTTCGGTCTATGAAATATGTCTAGCCATATATATATATACTCAATACGCCTGAAGGCGAGGTAAAGAGTCAGGGAATTTCCGATCATCACAGGCAGTCCTGAAGCACAGTTTTTCTGTTTCTAGAAAGAAAGAAAAAGGTGCCGGTACGGACGATAAAGTGATTAAGAAAAAAATGTGGAGTTACTCATCACAAAGTGTATGTTACTGTAGAGCGAAAGAATGATACATAAAAAAGGTGCCGGTGCTATGTACCATTGCGTACCAGCAGAAAAAAAAAAAGAACAAGCCACAGAAAGAAAACAATTCAGAATCTACTTCACGACTTTGGTATCTAGAGCAGTATTTCTATCCAATTCGGTAGGGAATTGATGAAGTGGTCAACGTCAGTCTAGTGGCTTTTAATTCCTGGAAAATTCCTGCTACCTATACAGGCTAGGTCGATTTAGTAGACATGGTATATATATTAGGGCTGTACCGAATAGTGATTTCCACTATTCGGCCGAATACGAATAGCTGGACCAACTATTCGGCCAAATACGAATACGAATAGTGAATCATCATCATCAGGTGCTTTGCCGACTGGTATGGTCGATTATGCCTCGCCACAATCTGCGATCTCCTGCAGCATGTATTAGTTTCGTGTGCTGACACACCTCCATGCCATGCAACAAGACTGTCAAGAATCTTCTCTTCCTCTATCCCTCCTTCCACAGATCTTTCCAGTGGTCACCACGTGCTTCCATTTTCCCTCATCTTATAACATGGCCGAAAAATGATGATTGTCTCCTTCTGATGTCTGTGAGGAGTTGTCTTCGGGCTCCCGCCTCTATCAAAACTTCTTGGTTCCTTTTTTCTTTTTCTTGTCCAGGGTATTTTAAGCATTGTTCTGTAATACCACATCTCTGAGCACCACTCGCCCCGGTTCGATGTTCATTCACTAGTCTTCTTGTAGTGAGCACTGCCCGACCCAGTTCATTGCTGGTTTACGAACCTCATTGTAGTAAGCACCGCTCGCCCCAGTTCGATGTTCGTTCCCTAGTGTTCGTAGTGAGCACTCGAGTTCATTTGGTTTACCAGTATTTTTGTAGTAAGCACCGCTCGCCCCAGTTCAATGTTCGTTCAGCAGTCTTTTCGTAGTGAGCACCGCTCGCCCCAGTTCAATGTTCGTTCAGCAGTCTTCTCGTAGTGAGCACCGCTCGCCCCAGTTCAATGTTCGTTCACTAGTCTTCCTGTAGTAAGCACCGCTCGCCTCAGTTCGATGTTCGTTCACTAGTCTTCTTGTAGTGAGCACCGCTCGCTCCAGTTTGATGTTCGTTCACTAGTCTTCCTGTAGTGAGCACCGCTCGCCCCAGTTCGATGTTCGTTCACTATGCAGATATTTTAAGCATTGTTCTGTAATACCACATCTCTGAGGTTTCAAGAAATTGTTTGGCCTGCCTACCGATTGTCCAGGACTTACAGCCATTTGTTAAAACTGGATGTATGTAGCAAGCAAGAATTGTTTTTCTAACCTTCAATGACAAAGATATATTGCATAAGATGTTCTTCATTTTATAAAATGCAGTTTGTGCCTGTCCTATTATGTTTCTTTTTTTCAGTAATGCATCTTCCATCTGAAGTTTTCCATGTGCTCAGATTCTTAAATTTCCTTACTTGTCCCAAAATAAAACCATTGACTTTTATTAAACATTTAGGAGTAATTATTTTCTTTGGTACCGCCATTACTCCTGTCTTCCCACTATTCTAACTGAGGCCCATTCTTCCACTTTTGTGTATAAAATAGATCTAAAAAGAAAACATCCATAATGTCAAAAGTACGCTGACATTTTACTTCACAAAATGTAGTACAGAATAGTAAACATTTAAATACATTTCATGTTTTGCATTCTTCAGTCAGTCAGTCTGTGGTAACTAATACATAAGAGTGAAAGTATTCTTAGTTTTATAACAAGTAACTAAACTTGTAAATTGTCACTGACAGCTTAATTAATCCCTGAAAGCGGCATTAGCTTTCCATACCCCCAAAAAAAAAAAAAATCGTTCCATGTTGTCAGCAATAAGGCAGCTTCTTGTCTCACTGAAGGCATTTCCAGCTCTACTAAACAGACGTTCACTTAGTACGCTCGTAGGTGGTGCACAAAGATAACGCTGGACAGTATGAACCAAGGTGGGAAATCTTGACATGTTTATTTTCCACCAGTCACGAAACGGGTGTAAGGTAACCACTATTCGTATTCGGCCCGACCGCAACTATTCGGCCGAATACCGAATAGTTATTAGGTCCACTATTCGGCCCCGAAGCGAATATATATATATATTTTAATCTGCGTCAATATGAATTCGAACTCATGACCTTATGCCGGTATAGTTAGTCACTGCTACACAAGGCTTTCTCAATGGTGATAGAAGCTAAAATCTCTCTACTTCAAAACAAAGGGTAATATCTATTTTTTTTTTTAGTATCCAGAAGCCATGAGTCGTTAACCCTTAGGCTCGGTATTATGGATATCGCAACCTTTCGGAGTTGATTCCATTGTAAATACCGTAAATCTGGGAGAAATGTGGCTTTTTTGCCTACCCTCGGGCGTGAACCCGGACCACAAGGAGTTCGTCGCCCGGTCACCGCGCAGTACGGTTTAGCCAACTACGCTAGAGACCCGGGCATGTGTATTATCTATAACAGTGGTCCTCAGTTAGATATAAGACCCGCTGACCTCCACTTATTTTAGAAGGACAGCTACTGACGTTAATCCTTTACAGGACGTTGTAGAACCAACCCCAGCAGCCCCTGGCTGTTGTGTGGTTTCTCTAGGCAAATTTACGTCCAGTTGTTTGCCATTGCCACTGGACGGTCGGCTCTCTGATACCACTGTCGAAACCAACACAAGCGCATAGCCCGCAGCTGGGAGCGAACCCGCTACCCCGGCATTACGAAGCGTTCACATCGACTTAGCCATAGAGCCGACAATCCTTCTAATAGTCAAATAAAAAACAAAAATAAATGAAACAAAAAGAATAATAAAATGAGGGTTGGGGTTTTTGTCCACTGTTGTAAATGAAGTCGCAAACCACTTACATTTGTTGCGCGGACCCAGGGGTAGGGGGTCTACAGACTTCCAAATGCGAATCACTGAAAGCTGAACATGTTTATCACTAGTCAACATGCTCAATACTAGAAGCAACTTGTGGGAATACAGGACCACCAGTTGGAATCGTTATTCTGTATTTCACATCCCAACGAAGCGTATGACCTCCACTAACTCAAGCAAGTATCTATGTAAACTTTTTGATTTGTTAAAACCGTCCTTATACGGAACCAGTTTTTTTTCGTTGTTTTGAAGCCCCGCATCGGTTGTTGCCGGGAGTCCTAATATAACCTAACCTATCGGTTGAACGGGATTTCTGGGACATCTCCACTGGTGATACTCATCCGCATGGTAGCACATTGTGTCACCGGGTGTTTATCGCTAGGTGTGATGTCCTAGTGGGGTGAAACCTCAATCAGTCAATCGACTTGATGATCTTCTTCTTAGCATCCAGTAGCTGTAAACTCTGGTGGAAAGTTCTTGCTGTTCGTCCACTTCGAAGAAAACACCCCTAATTAGTCGCATTTTACGGCATGCTTGTTGGGTGGCAGTGTGTCTGTCCTTTGTTACCTCAAAATAGGGCCCCGGAACCTTTAGAGACAAGACGTGTGGATAATTAGTTACGAGTTTGTAACTTACATTAACTACAGGATAAGCAACTGGTCAGTGAACCCTTTGTTGATAGTTGTCGTAGCAGTCAATATGCAAGCACGGCATTTTGTAATTAAGCCAAAACTAAATACAGTGTGCTCTTTCTATGCATAGACCTGCT